GCTTCTCCTCCAGCAACGGCGAACGCTCGCCGGGCGCGCCGAATGTGTGCAGCTCGCGTGCGCGCTCAAAGTCCATTTGCGTTTGCGCGCGCTGTGTGTTCAGCTCGGCGCGTGCGCAGTGAACGCGCTGCATCAAACGTTTAAATCCGGCGGCGCTGTTGTTGTTGCTGCTGCTGCTGCTAGTTGGGGCTGCCTCGAGTGCATTGCCAGTTTGAAAATTTGTGCGCAGCCGCTTGCCATTGCAGAATTGCAGCTCGACATAGGCTTGGTATTTGATGGGTCCCTTGACCAGCCTGTACACCTGCACATTGTCGTGCTCAGCAATCAGCTCGAAGCTGGCGCCATGCTCATTGGGTCGCCGCAGCACAAGCAGCTTTTGCCAGCAGCGCAGCAGCACATAGACATGATCACGCAGCCAAACGTACTTGCCAATGCTTAGCGGCAGCTCCTCGACGGCGTGCAGCATGCTGTAGCTGGTCGCATCGCCGCTGGTCTCGGCGACATCGTCGCGTATGAGAAAACTGCTGACGGGTCCGCTGTACGCCTTCAGCTCCGTGGCCAGCTGCTGCAAGCATGTGCCTCTGAGATCGATGTGATGCAACAGCTCCTTTTTTCGGAACTCGTAGAACTTTAAATTACGACCAAGCACCAGACTGGATTTCGTTTTGTTAACATGCAGCTGACTGCAATAAGCAACTGTGTCGCGCTGCGTCAAAAATTCGGGCACGTCCTCCTCAACGAGCGTCAACATAATAATGTAAACAAAAAAAAAAAAAAAAAAAACAAAAGACCGCTAAAGGCAGCGTTCTAGAGATGAGCAATAATATTGTGACTGCCACTTGTGTAGCACTTCACAGAGTTGCATTATCAGTTAGATAGTTGACTATTGAACAGCACTGCCAGAATTCAATTGTAACGGCTATGCAATAGTTGTTTAACACTATTTTTAATCAATTGTAAATTGCACGAAGCGCAAGTATTTTGACAAAAAAAAATTGCTTACAACTACAAATAATAAATGATATGCACATTTGATAGGAACAAAGAAGTCGGTTTAAAAAAAAAGGATTTTAAAACTAGTTTTCGGAACTTTATCCACTTCATAAGGTGGGCCACTTTGAGCGCCCCCTCAAAAACTCTTGGCAATCTCTTAATGGGAATATCAAATTAACATTTGTTCACGTGAGGCCATCAACAGCGGCTTCTGCTGTACGCCAGTGGACAGGACGAGCGAACGTCGCATCCGATTACGCTGCATGCTGCTGTTGCGCTCCCGCACAGATTGCCGCAGCTGCTGACGACGTGCAGCCCCAACGCCGGCGGCATCCTTTTCGGCAGCATTCATTGCCGCCAGCAAATCGAAGGCAGCGCGTTTTTGCTCCTTGGTCCACATATTGGTCAGCTGTTGCGTCGGCTGCGGCTGCTGTGTGGCTGGTAGCTTGGCAGCCAATGGTGGACGTCGCGGCTGTTGCTGTTGATCCGATGCTGCCGGCGCAGGCGGTGCAGGCTTAGCGACTGCTGCTGGCTTCGCAGGCGCTTTACCCGCGCGACTGAGTCCAAACAGAGACAATATGGACTTGCGACGTGTGCTGGAAGCCTGACTCTCGGCGGATTCGTTGCTGGAGACACTAGTTTGCATAGGCAGCGGCGCAGCTGGTGCCGCACCCGTTGCCGGCTCCAGCGAATATTTGGTGCATTTGGGTGGCGACTGAAATGTGACCCGGCGCAGCGTATTGCTGTTGTTGCTCTGCAGCTGCTTGGGCGCCGTCAGCATGGCCAGATTCATTTTGGCCACCGTCGGCGATGTCTCATTCAGCTCGATGCTGCAGTAGGTGTCATCGTGGCGCGTGGACAGCGGCTTGCGCGGCGGCACTGGGGGCACCTGCTGCCGGCACTGGCACTGACACTTATTCTGTGCCTGGGCCAGTGCCTGTGCCTGTGCTTGGGCCAGCTGCTCAGCCTGCTCCAGCTTGAGCCGCAGCTCGCGTTCCATTGTTTTGAGTCGCTCCTCGGCCGCTTGCAGCTCGCTGGCTCGCTGATCCAGCAGTGATTCGTGTGCTCGTATCGCATGCAAACGCTGCTGCAGTGCATCATCGAAGATGTTCTGTGTGACGCGTTGCGGACTCAACTGCAACACAGTCGGCGCCTCCCGGCGTATGCTCTCGTAGAGCGAGGGATCCGATTTCTGTTTGCTGCCAAAGATGCGCCGCTTGGCCGAGTAGAAGAGCTCGCTGCGCAGATCGGGCGTAAAGACCCCAGTGACACTCAGGCGGCGCTGGCCATAGCCCTCATTGAAGCTATACTGTTCCGTGAACAAGGTGCTGGATAACTCCGGCGATTCGGGAAACAGCTTGCCCACGCCGGGCAGCTGAAAATCCTCACCAGCGTCGACAAGACGTGGAAACTCGGCAACCAACTGGTTAATATTGCGCACCAGCAACGGATGACGTGTGATTACCTCAATGCCCGGACGCTGCTCATGATCCACGGCCAACATGAAGCCAATGATGGACTGCAGATCGCTGCTGTAGATTGCCGGAATGCAGCTGAACTGACCGTGGGCAATGTTCGCCGACAGCTGCTCAAAGGCGCGTCCCCGAAATGGCGGACGCAATGCGCACAGCTCATAGATGAGACAACCGACCGCCCAGACATCACTCTTGCGATCGTATTGCCTGCCCTTGACCAGCTCCGGGCTCATGTAGTGCGGTGTGCCCACAAAGCTGGCGGCAAAGCTCTGATCCCGGCGTAAAACGCGCGCCAGACCAAAATCACCCAGCTTAACATTGCCGCTGGCATCGAGAAATATGTTCGCCGGCTTTATATCGCGATGGAGTATGGTGCCGCTGGGTATCTTATTATGGCACACCTGAAGCGCACGGCACAGCTGGAAGAGCACACGCCAAATGTACGGCTCCTCGAATCGTTGACGTTGCGTCCGTGCGCGCTGTATTAGCTGGGCAAGATCACCGCCATCACAGCACTCCATAACGATGTATATTGATTTGGCCTCCCGATTTACCAGATGATGATAGTACTGCACTATGTTCGGATGCTGCAGTTGCCGCAGCACACTTATCTCGGATATTAGGGATTCGCATTTCTCATCGTCCAGCTCATCGTAATTCATGCCCTTCCAGGCGTATAGTACGCCGGTGGTTTTGTCCTTTACCTTGTAGCAGGTGCCAAAGGCGCCGTTGCCCATCACGGCCAGCACCTCGTAATCCTGCAGCGTTTTCTTGGCAAACTCTGATGTGTTCTTATGGGCTGGGGACTCGGCGGCACTGCTTCCGCCGCCTAACTGCTCGGTGCTGCTCATGCTAAGGCTGTGTTTTCAATAAAGGAGCAATAAATGTTATTTACATAAACTCTCTCTACTTTTAATTCGATTTCCATTCGCCCGCTCTGCCGTTCTGTTTGCATTGAATGCCGAAAACTAACTGAGCGTTCCTGCTCCTGCAAACGAGTTTCGGCAAATTCATGTACGCACACACACACACACAATTATGCGCATGCGCACCCACACACACAGTTTTACCTGCGAAAACCAACAACAACAACAACAACGACGACAACAGCGCACACACAACAAGTGTTGTACACTGCATACACATTAGAGATGAGCCGCATGCGCGTACCTGTGACTGTAACTGTGGCGCAAGGGCGAATGAAACGGCATAAGCTGTTAATAAACAAGGCAAAAAACGTATATTGCACTGCGTTTTCTTTTACAACAGACAATTAGTAGCGCGCTAGCATTATACCCTTCTTTTGCTATGGTCGAAACAAAAGAAACGACCAGCCGCTAGCACCAAGCAGAGCGAGAGAAAAAATGTGTTGATGCAGTCGCGCATAGATATGAAAGTCACAGTAACAGTCACAGTTATGTAAATGCCTTCAAAAATCCCAACATAGCTCAACACTAAATGCATATCTTCTTACGTTCCTAGAAGGCTGTCACTGTTGCACACACACACACACACACAGAGAAAGAGATAGAGCAGGAGGGGGGAGCGACGCCGACGCACTTTGCAAATCTTACACGCTGCGCGGTCGCGCCGTTGCCTTGGGCCTGTGTACAAAATAAAAACCGTTGGGTGTGCATTCAGGAAAGTGTCTAAAGACGAATGTCCTTTGGCACAGCACGCCCGCAATTTGAACAATTGTCTATGCTCGTTGCCCACACAATGACCATAAAAATAAATTAGTTTTGTTGCGTTGGCATTTCAATTTGTGCGTCTGTTGTTTCACTCGGTGTCTGCCTTTGCGCCGCTCAAACGGATTATGTTACACACACACAGGCATACAAAAATCAAATTTCAGTTTTTAGATCCTCTTTGAGCTTAGTTATTATGAATTTCAATACGCTAGTTTTCATTCAGCAAAACGTGAGCCGCTTGAAATCCTAACGGATTTTGTGCATAAAAACACTTTTGTTAATGCTGTCTCGCTCGCACGTACAATTATGCTGCTAGCTGAGATTTTTGTGTATGTGCATTCGTTTTGTATGTGTATATGTGCGCGTGTGTGTGCCCAGCTAGAGTCCAGGTAGAGCACGCCAAAAAACGAGTTATCTTGGGCTTATCGTTAGCCCGTGTGTTGATGGTTTTATGGTTTTTCATGTGTAAAACAAACAATGGCCAAAAGAAACAGGCAGCAACGTAATCCTTCATAAATAAATCAGGGTTCGACTGTCCTACGATCCGTGGTTTGTGTTTGTTGCCCACCATTGTTTGTACGGGCCAGTGTTGGCAACTTGAATTATTTAACTCAAATTTGGCCGTTTTTTTTCATGTATTCTCTGTAGCTGTTTTCGTCGTTGTTTTTTTCACGCTAAAACTAGCCTTTGCACAACAAAATTTAACAACACTGGTGCCGGCGACCGCAAAATGTTTGGTCAGCGCGATTGGTTTGTAATGCTAACGTTTATGGACCTGCACTTTGCAACACAGGTACACGCACAATTCCGTGTAATAAGCCATAGATCACATTTACCAGCATTTCACATAGCCATGTTACAGTTTATTTTAACGACAGTGAGGGGGAAAAAAAAATTGTTGTGATAGTATGCAACCTTAATGCCTAATCACCAGGACGGCGGCTGGTTTTCGCTGCCAGCGGGGCGCGCATAGAGGGCGCTCTTGTCGCGGAACATGGTCATCCGTTCCGTTTCCTTTTTATCCAGAAAATGGCCAATCGCAAAGCCAAGCAGCGGTAACGCCGCCCACAAGGCGCGCTTATCCAGACCGAGCACCATTTTGTGTTGTATTTGATTTAGCTTTGACTCTTCAGCGCCGCGCTCTGTGCTGCTAGCAGTTGTTGGCGTTTCCACGCGCGTGTATGGGACCAGTCTGCGTAGATGGAGCCGACTGCAACAGTTGGAAAGAATATCACTGCACCGTACTTTCGCGCCAGCTGTAAGATGACGCTACTGCCCATATGTATGTGTCTTGGTCAATGCGAATGAACTGTAAACAAACAACAATTAATGAGTGCAACATGAACGTGATAAAGGGCTGTTATTTTTTTTTTGTTTTCTTGGGTTACGTAATGGAAGTGTAAGAAACGACAGGACTAATGACGTTTTAGTTTGTGCAATGCCAACAATTGCTTACTCTGTACGCACACAAGCAATGGTCGTATTCGTTTCAAACAGCTTTACTGAATAAAATAAGAAAATTGTCAAATTCTTTGTTGTTATTAACTTACGCTTATGCAAAAGCCTGGTCGATTAGAGATGTGAGATGAAGACTGCTTGGCGATATATCGAAACAAGAAACAATATGTTAAAAAAAACATACTAGTATCGGTAGATTAATAAAGCTAAGTACGCGTCATAAATATTTTATTTATTACCTGTCACAGTAGTGCAGCACATCCATTAAATTTTGTTGTTGCTTTAGTTAATTATAAAGTAAAAATTGTAATAGCGCTATATTACACTTTAAAGTTGCTCGCCAAAATACCAAAATGGGTATTTTTAAAATAATTTTACCATGGCTATCGATACCACAATTGATTTCACATGCGTTTCCGATAACGATGACATTTCTGATACAAATTTGCCGGCGCGACAACAACTGGGCCGGCATTTTGGTTAAAGATTCCAATTGTTATATTGAGTAATTTGATTTTGTGTAGTGTGCGACTGTTTGTGCAACCAAGAAACTCGCAAATCTGGATGCATGCAATGAGATGATTGCCGTCGCAGAGCCGCCACTGGAATTCATTCCTCGCGGTCGTCAGGCGGCAGAGGAGCATCCTGGGCCCACAGAACCGCCGTTGCCCAAATATTTGCCCGCCGAGCATTTGCTACTGCAGCGTCTACAAAATGTTAATATCTCTGCCGCCACAGAGGAGCCACAAGAATTCTGGTGCATACGCGAAATCTATGATGACTACGAGGCCAGCTATGAGCGCGCCCAGCGTCGTCAGCAGCTAATCGAGCAGACCAAAAAGTGCGGACCGAATGCCGCCGCTGCAACGCAGCTGACATCGCTGCCACAACAGTTGCTGGAACCGATTAAGCAGCGTCGTGAGGAGCCCATGTGCGACTACATTGTGAACAACGAGGAGGAGCTGTACGTGAACAAGCACACGGTCATCTGGACGCAGGGACTGAACGATGACGATGATGGTGTGCAAAGGCGCATGTGCTTCACCTGCGACACGCCGGTAAAATTCGCCTGCTTTCTGAATCGTCGCTTTGTACGCGGTCGCTTGGCTCAATTGCGCGCCGCTGTCCAACCGGAGGATGACAGCTTGACGGCCATTTGTGTGGTCGATCAGGATGCACTGCGCGTCTATTGTGATGATGGCGATGACTTCTTGGCCAATCTTGATTTTCCCGTCTCGCATTTGTGGCAAACGGAGCACGGCTTGCTGCTGGAGAAGGACTCCAGTAACGCGCTCGTCTCGCATCTGTCCATACCAATGCCGCGTTTGTTCTCCATGTCGCATCCCTTGCACGAAGCCTGTCCGGTTGTGCTTAAAACATCCACCAGTTCCACTGGATACATGACCGAACCGGAATACAGTGTGGTCTTCACAGCCGAGGATTCGGACCTGGTGCTGCTCTACGATGCCAAGTTCTTCAAGCATTTTGCTGCCCGTCTGCGCAAAGTGACGCCCGAGGAGGTGAACTGTGTGAGCCAACAGCAGCAACAGGAGCTGCTCAACCAGACGCTGCAGGGACAACGCGGCACACCCGGCACCAGCAGTGTCCATAGCTTCAGCTCAACCAAGCTGACAGGCGGTGGGTAAACCTTTAATAATACACTAACACAAGGGGTATGGGCCATATCAGGGTATTTAAGCTTTGACTTGCGAATCTCAGAATTTAAGCTCTTGCAACTTATTTTGTTTTGCAGCTACGCCCAAGCTGAGCACCGCATCCTTTCTGGGACGCAACACACCGATTACGCCGGTAAACAATTTCTCCAAATATGGCCTCAGTCAGTCGCAATCTTTTAGCGGCGTCCTCGGTCAATCCAAGTAAGTAGCTAGGGCCGAGTTGTATTATTTCTAAAGTCCATCAACTAATCTACTGGCTACACTTGCTTGCAGCCGCGCCTCGCTGGGCACACCACTGAGTCAGCTGCAGAATAGCATTAGCCAGCAGTCGGTGTCCGTCAAGGATATGCGCAAGATGACGCACGTGAAGCCGGCCAAGCCCATTGAGCCGGAGATGTGCTTGGAGCATATCTGGACAGAGAATACGTACGGCACGTAAGTTTGTCCGAAAACCAACAACAACTGCTCCCAACTTGGATTTTTAATGCGTTTCGCGTTTGCAGCCAACGCGAATTCTGTGAGATGGCAACCCGCGCCTTCATCCACACGGATTTGGTGGGTCAGACGTATTTGTGCTATTTGCTGCCACGTTCCTGCCGCCTGCAGCTGGTGCTGATCCATGGCTACGACACCAGCGAGCTGCAGCTGTCCACGATGGCATCCACGCTGCCCGCCAAGGATGCGGTGGGTCTGCAGCGTTTGCATATGATTGCTGTGCTGGATCCGGGCGGCAATCTTATATTATACACGGGCACTGTGCTCATTTCCAAGGTGCACATAACACCGCAGCTGACAACGACGGCGCCCAGTGTGCACAGTGTCACGCCCACGCCAGGAAGTGCACCTGCTGCGACTGTACATCCCCATACGCCCCTGCAGGCCATGCTGCCATCACAGCTGAAACCGGCCAGCAGCTCCTTTGTGGAGGTGCGTCGCAGCAGCCTGCTGCCCACCAAAGCGGCAGCCGATCTGAACGCCTTTGATGAGGAACTGGAGCTGCATATGCTGTCGCCCATACAGCCGCAACCCATGTCCTATACGCAACGGCAGGCGCATAACATATGCAAAGCGCTGCGAGATCCCGCCGGTAATCGATTGACCCTGGTCTATGCCACCGGTCGCATGTTGCGCATTGCCCTGCCGCTGCTGAACGATACGCGCCTCATTACACGCTGTGTGGCCGCCCTGCGGCAGGTGCTCAATCCGACACAGTTTCTGCACTTCATCATACGCTGGTACAGTGCACGCAATCCGCCCGGTTCGCGGGACTACAGCATTGAGCAGGAGTGGCAACTGTTTCGCAGCACACTGCTCGGCCTTATGGGCTGCATGGGCACGGCGACGGCTAACGAGAGTGCCGAGGTGGATGAGTCCTATGCACGCTGTGCCACGCCGCCAATGCAAACGGCTCACATGGGCTGTGGCGCGGCACAGGATGAGCCGCAGAAGCGACGCAAATACAACGACTGCGAATCCTATACTGACGATGATTGGGAATTTATGCTGTTGCAAACGGCGCTCTCCGCCTGCCCAACAGATCCACCGCATGCGTACAGTGTGGACGTGACGGCGCCATTGTTTCGCATGCTGCCCGCCATATTCTATGGGCTGCACATGCTCTACGAGGATCTCAAAATGGATGCGGTCTTTCAGAGCTCGCTTCTCTATCTGGCTTCGGTAAGTGTCTTGTATATTATAATTAGAAATAAAAAAAGAATATTATTTTGTTTATATTACATGCAGTTCCTTCACCAACTGGCAATTGACATGCAGCTGGACAGCTATATATTTCACTATCATCTGGACTTTCCGGAGCTGACGCACAAGACGACCAAACTGACAATGCTGGGCAACGAGCATGGCGCCCTGATGCTCTACCAGGAGCTGTTGCGCATGCCGGCGCCCAGTGTCCATCTGCAGCTGGAGCACGTGCTGCTCGGTCGGGAGGAGGTGCCGCCACTTAGCTATTTGGAGTGCATCAATGAGCGTAGCCGGAATATGGTGCAGCTGGTCTCGCTGGTGATGCATGGCCACACCAAGCTCAAGCACTGGTGGCAGCTGCTCGAGATCTTCGGTGCCGTACAATCGAACTTTAAGAAGCGACCCAAGCGCAGCATTTCGGTGGATGTGCCGCGATGCCATCAGGTTCTCGAGCTGTTGCTATGCATGCAGCTGACACGTCGCGACATTGAACGTTTGCCGGCCGCAGTGCATCTGGTGGTGGCCGAGTGCCTGGAACAGGCGCGTCTAATGCCGCCCATGGGCAGCAGCATGGCCACCTATGAGCTGATACTGCGACCCGAGCTGGCGGCGCATGCGCAGCTGCCATTTCTCGAAACGACTTTCGGTCAGCCGCATTGTGGGCGCGTCTACAAGGAGGATTCACTGTCGCCACGTATAGCGCCCAGCAGCGGTGAATGGCCCATGGCCGAGCCGGAGGCCGAGCAGTTGCGACACGATGGCATGGACAATATGGACACGAAACTGTTGCGTCTGCGCTTTCCGGACGACATGCGTGTCGAGGAGGTGCGTCGTCTGCTTAACAGCGCCGATCCGGTGGCCATCGAGGTGCAACAATCGCCCGGCACCAGTGATCACGAGTTCATCGAGGAGCAGGAGAAACAGCTATTTGCCCTCTGTGCTCGGACCATGACCCTGCCACTGGGCCGGGGCATGTTTACGCTGCGCACCTTGCTGCCCCGGCCGAGCGATAATATGCCCATGCCCAAGCTGTGCCTGGTGGGCCGGGAGCCGGTCAAGGGCACCACCATTGAGATGCAACAGATTGAGTTCCCTGCCAATATGCATATGTGGCCATCGTTTCATAACGGCGTCGCGACTGGCCTGAAAATCTCGCCGCAAGCATTGGAAATTGATTCCACATGGATTGTCTACAATAAGCCAAAGACACAGGCGAACAATGCATTGGAGCATGCCGGATTCCTGATGGCTCTCGGCCTCAATGGCCATCTCAAGTCGCTGTCATTTATGAGCGTCTACAAGTATTTGGTCAAGTGCGATGAGATGACCAGCGTTGGCCTGCTGCTGGGCATCTCGGCGGCGCATCGCGGCAGCATGGATACCAAGACAACAAAATTGCTGAGCGTACATCTGGAGGCCCTGTTGCCGGCGACTGCCATGGAGCTGGACATACCGCAGAGCACACAGGTGGCCGCTCTAATGGGCATCGGTTTGCTCTATCAGGGCTCGGCTAAGCGGCACATTGCCGAGGTGCTGCTCCAGGAGATTGGCCGGCCGCCCGGTCCCGAAATGGAGAATAGCATTGAGCGTGAATCGTATGCAATGACTGCCGGTTTGGCACTCGGCCTGGTCACCCTGGGCCAGGGTGAATCTCCGGCTGGTCTGCGCGATCTTCAGCTGCCCGATACGCTCCATTATTATATGGTTGGCGGCGTTAAGCG